TAGAGTGCAATCAGATGAAGAGTTTATTAAGAACACACGTGTGGGAAGAAGTACACAGCATCACATCTGCGGACTTCTTCTGCCACAAATACACAGAGAATGGTTTATATAACGTCAGCGTTAAACGCCCCTTCACGCGTTCTGATAACATATTTTGTATTTCTAAGAACATCATTTGCATTTTGTACAGACAATGAGCAATTTTGAGAGCTAAGGTCAGACACAGAAGTTCCTCTTTCTAACATCTTTTCCCAAATATGGTGATGATTTCAGGCCCTGGAGGTGGACTTTTCTTCCTTTTGACCCATCTTCTGTCATCTGTTACTAAGCAAACTCAAATGCCACAGGTTACAACAAGAAGCTGAATACATTCAGGCCTTCACTCAAGCTTTTCTAGATTATATGTACTATATGTGTTTTGTAAGCGTGTATGCAGTTTTAACCTTCTGTTGCTCTAAGTCACCTACAATAGATTGCCTGGAGATTCGCGCCAAACAAAGCTTGAGACCTTCGATTGACTGAGCAGAACACACTTCTTTAATGAGCACAAAATGCCATGTGTATAAAATGGTCTTAGCTGTAGCTGTAATAAAAAGTTAATGTAAAGCCAGCAGGTTTTAATAAACATCTTAATGCAGTATCAATACTATAGATTATATCATTAATGATGCAGAATATATTGTAGCCATAAAATAATTACCTGTTCCTGTTGTGGAATTAAAGAAAGTTTAATCCACAGATCATGTAATGATAGTGAAGACAGCTAGAAGAACATCAGTCAATAAAATTCATCAATATGAGAATAAATCAAACCGAAACCTTGTCAGGCTACATTCAGCACAAGTGGGGACAAAGAACAAGGGGACAAGCTCTATTTTAAGATTAAGGGATAAATTCGTTCAGCCTATGAACGTCAGCCAATAAAAATTAGGAAACGTTTAGACCGTGTCACAGTCTTCCTCCCCAGAGTCTCCAGGAGGCTCCGTTGGACCCACTCTGTGGAAGATCTTCCCATCAGGCTGTGTCTTCCACGTCAGCTTCACCTCCTCCGTGATCCCTTCCTCGCTCAGCTTCACCTTCAGCTGAAATACAGTTTTCATATGTCAACAGAAGCTCCTCACTGACTGGTCGAGGTGAATGAAGTTTTTATCGCTATAAAGTGCGACTGATTCACGATGACAGGTCTGGCTGCAGTTCTTTGATGTCCACCACATGCTCCTTGATAATTTACAAAAATAAAGTTAAAAAGTAAGATTTTGTTTATATAGCACCTCCCATGATAAATATCACAACCGGCAGCAATAAAGGCCCCAAAACAAAACCTGGCGGTGCATCACAGGAAGGAGAAGGACCTGCGCACAGAGCCAAACATCATTCAGGCAGAGAAGCGCTCCAAAACAGACCCTGGTCTCAGCCTTTCAAGGATAACACGATGGTCAGCAGTATCAAATTCTAAAATGAGGGCAATATGAAACTGTGTAATGTTGAGATTGATCTGTAACTGCAAAGAAAAGAAGGGTCAAGGACTTTATCAGGGACCAGTGAAAATATTCATAGCGAGCACGGAGAATAAATGGAAAAATAATAAGTTTAGACTCAGAGATATCAAACCTACGGAAGCCCGTCTCTGCCACTACAAAAAAAAGTATCAATAACTTGAAATTTCAAGTGATTAACATTAAATTTCGACTTACTTCAAAACTTTGAGTTAATAAATTGAAATTTTCGAGTTAGCGCTGCCGATCAGTAATCTACGTGAATGACGTCATTTCCTTGTCAGCCGGAAGCTGAAGCCCTCAGCTGCAGCCAGTCATGAATGCAAACATTGCTGATTATTTTCATCGTGGCTTCACAAATGATGCAATCCCTGTGTTATCAGCTGAATCACATGGCGTTACTATCAGCAAACTCTCGAATGCGCTAATTTGTTGCGATCCGGTTTAGATTACTGATTGGCAGCGCTAACTCAAAATTTTGAGAAAAGTAAGTCGAAATTTCAAGTTACTGTTCTCGAATTTCGAGTTATGGATTTTTTTAGTGGCAGAAACAGGCTTCCATACAAACCCTATGGGCAAAAGAAAAATTCCCTTTTTCCAGGTCTCAGCAGCTTCTTAGGCTGTATTGTGAGATACTTTTAGATTTACCCGGTAACTAAAGCAGGCAGCATGGTGGTGCAGCGCTTGCAGTTTCACTTCACAGCATAAGATCGTGGGTTTGAATCCATGGACTGGTCTTCGTGTGCTCTCTGGAGCTCCATTCATTTGATATTTTATTTTTTAATTGGATTCTGTAGTTGCAGGAATGCGACTTCCTGTACCTGCATTTATTATTACAGTTATTATAGCTGTGCGCTCACTGAGTCAGGGCATCGCGTGACCTCTGACCTGCTGCAGGATGGATTCTTGCACTGTTGGGTCGTTCAGGTCTGCAGATCCCACCCTCAGCTGAACCTTCATGTTGTACTTCACGTTGTATGTCATGTTCTTCTCTGCGGGCTTGACATCTGCAGTGAAATAAGAAGTCATCAGACCAGGAAGATCATTCTCTGAGGAAGCAGTGATGAAGGACCCACCTTGGTAACAGAGGAAGTCATGATTCTTGTTACATTCTTCACCGAACCAGAAAGCTGATGACGTTTCCATCAAGGCACAGTCCTTACCATCCTTAGGCTCCCCAGATTTCCAGTTTGTGTACGTGGCATTGCTTCCATCTGACCACCCCCACGATGTTTTGTACAAACCAATCCAAGCAGTTTGGGTGTTTATAGCGTTTGACAGCATCAGAGCAGTGATCTTGATGTTGTCCTGCTCTGTGTTGATGCTTATCAGGTCTGTGTATTTCTCCCTGCAGTAAGACTGAGCAGCAGACCAATTCATTGGTGTCTGAACCAGGATTTGATCATGTGTTGCACCTGAACAAGGAAAAAATAGACAGATTCACACCAGTGACTGTTCTTTAGAGACAGTCCTGATGTTCTTTTCTGTTTGCAGTACTTTCACTTGTGATGTTTTTAAGTGCAGCAAAGTCTATAGACTTTGTTTGATGCTGATGTTGGTGAATTTAAAAATAACTCACCACTGTAACAGATGAAATGATTCTGAACTGTACAATCTCTGGTAGACCAGACCCCAAACTGAGATATTATGACACACTGTCCCGTCCCTGGCTCATTCAAGGCCCAGTTCTGGAACCAGGATGACTGAACCAGGCCTGTTTGAGACCATTTCCACATGTTCCTGAAGAGTCCGATCCAAATGTGTCCTCCTGATGCTGCCTGCTGGGCTTCCGAGTTATTGGCCGGTCCCTGGATGTTAGCGAGGTCGGTGTACGTCTGTCTGCACTTTTGGAAAGCTTCATACCAGTTCAGTGATTGACTGACGTAGTGGAACTGAACAGGCTGAAGATCACAGACCACCACACAACCTGAGCGACGACACAGGAAACAGTCAAAAGATTCTCTGTAGATTAAAAAATCAAAACGGTGCTCGAACCTTTTAAAATGTTGCTTGTTTGTTTGTCATTATAAAGTCACATGAAATGCAAAGTTACAAACAGGACTCTGTCTCGACTGTTGTGATTCGGTGCCTTCTACATGAAATATCATCTGTGCATCATTTAATCATATGGACCACCTCGAGTACCAACTCTATGATTGAGGCCTAATGATTTGAGGACAGAATCGCTGATTTGACATCGAACTTCTCCGTGTAACAAAGTATTCTAGAGTGAAACTTGAGTCAAGCAAGAGGACAATGGTCCCATCACAGCAGCATCTGAAAAAAGAATCAGCGTGATGCAATGTTCACTCTGACCTCACCCACTGAAACGCTGTGGTGGGAGCTTCAGCTCAGCATGAACAAATGGCTTCAAGCCTCAATGATACAAAACTGATAGAAAAATGTTTGGTCTAAAAAACAGTGATGATTATAACCTGATCCAAAATGTTTTTAATGTATTTATCATAATCATGTCTTGATGCTCAATCATCCAGGTAGGGAAATCCCAGAAAGTTGATTCTGTTCATCTGGATGTTTTCAGCGGGAGAAACGTTTCATCATCATCAGCTGACGGCAGGTCTCCAACCTTATAACCAGGACATTCACATAATGACTGAAACCAGTCAACTGAGGGAACAATGGGCTGGGACGTCAGCTCCCTCATCATTGATATCCAAATAGTCATGACCATTTGTTACGACCCGGCTCGAAATGACCGTAACAAGAGCGGGGTGTCCCGTGACTTCCCACGCCCAAACAGACACAGCCACAGCATCGGACTTTTAACAACGGTTTATTGACAACAATGGCACTCACGGTAGTGGGAGTGTATAATTTCGGGGTGAGCTAAGGCCAACACAACGAACAAAACTCAACCTAGGCTTCGGTTCCCCTCTGACCTGTTCAAGGAAAAGAAAGAAATAACACAGTCTGACCTCCCTGGTCTAAAAACACAGGAGAAAAGAAGGCTTCCCAAAGTAATCGGCAGCTCACCCCTACTTGCTCCGCACTTCACACACATGCCCGACCTTTTAACTAAAAAGCTATGGCTGCGGCCGCTCCGTCTGGACCTGAGGCAAGTGCACGGGAAGTCTGCCACACCCCCCCGCACTGCAGCTCTTCGGTCGCCCTTTTATAGTCCACGTCCACAGCAGGAACCAGTTACATCAGGCCGCTCCTTAGGTCCACCAATCACAGCCGAGCCCCTGCACAGGTGAATTTGCATACACACATTAAGAAACAGAGAACCCACCAACACACGCACGTAACACCATTGATCAATGATTAATTCTTTGATCAATAACCACGAGTACCATTCACAGAGAGTTGGAGAATGGCTGCAACCACAGCGTGTATGTCACAGCATGACAGATGCACCCTTGGGCCCCCTCCTCGACTCAGAGATGGTCTTTACATAAATGGCCTCCTTGACTGAAGAAGTCAGTTGGATGAGAGACGAAACGTTTTTCCCACTGAAGACGCGTCAAGATGAATTTCATATAATTATGTTCCTGTGAGTTTGAACTTGGCAGAACAAGCTATGGGTGTGGTCCGCTTTATTTTGAAATCATGTCCTAGCAGCGTGTGCTTTTAAAGCCCTTGAAAGAGCAGTTTGCAACTTTACTTTGTCCCAGGGTTTAGTTGGTAGGTGACAGGAGGCAGATGCTACAGTCATGGTACAACATCGTGACTTCAACAGTTCTTTGATGGAATAATCTCACTGACCTGAGAGCAGCAGGAGGATCACGCCACGTCCGATCATGACTGAGAGCTGAAAGACCGTGAAGATGTCGTCATTAATATCATTTGCAGATCACGAAAGCAGCAGCATCAGAGCAGACTCAGACTGCAAAATATAATTACACAGAGCTCTACTGAAACAAAGCCTGGAGTTTGAATCTTTACTTAAAATATATTACTTTTTATTAAAGTGTTTACTTAGCCCATGTAGAAGGTACATTTTTAGACAAGTTACTACAGTCAGTGCAGTCAGCAGCCTCACCTGAGATGCAAAGTAATGTAACTGCAGGTTCAGAGTAAACTGCACAGACGTCAGTATCACAAAAAGAAGGATGGATACAAAAAAATCTTTCTTTTCATCATTAGCACAAAGTTTTCAAACATCCACAGAGCTCAGAGAGGAACAGAAACGTGATGTAAGTGGGCAATATTCTTATCAGGGACATGTTGTGCACGGGCACAGTGAGGAGTGGACCCAAATGCAGACAAATTAAACGTGAAGACAGAACTGGATACTAACGAAAAGCGAGCCGTTTAATGAGGCTGATGAAACAAAACAAAGTGGCGAAGGTGAAACAACATGAAACTAAACAATAATCTAAGCTGGCAGAGCTAACGTAAAGCAAACGGACAGGAAAACCTGGAAACGAGCAACGTGGAACACAGACAGATATGGGACGATTAACGGGCAATCCGACAAAGACTGAATGACAGCTAAACCAAAGGAAACACACGGGGAGCACCGCTGGGACGAATGAACATAACGGCAAGACAGGAGGAAGCGAGCTGAACACACATGGGACACGAGACTGTCAAAATAAAACAGGAAGTGCAGAGAAGCAGACCCGAGACACACAGGCTTGACATAACCTCAAGGAAATAGAAACGGGAGATCGAGCACGGACATAACTTTAGCTACGTTCACTCTGCAGGTCTTGATGCTCAATTCTGATTTTTTGATCAAATCCATTTTTTGTCTGCTTGTTCACACTACAAATAAAATGCGACAGCAAACGCGCTCTAGTGTGAACGCTCAAAGCG